GGGGGGGGGGGGGGGGGTGGGGGGTGCAGCCAGCCCAGCTGTTCAGCTAAACTCAATCTTCTCTGTAAAAATGGACCCTGCAAGAGAAAATCCTGAAAAAACCCTGCAGATGGTAATTAAAATACATATTGTAGTGAAATTTAAAAATTATATTTATTTTATAACTTCTGGTTTCAAAAGTTAAAAAATATTCCTGCGACTGTCCCGACTTTAATGCCCCAGTGCACGCAAGCAATAAAATCAAGGAAAACGTGACCATGCATAACGACAGGTTGGATATTTTCCAGAACTGGATATTACTAACCCATTAATTACACCTCTGTCAGCGAATTGAGTTATGTGTGATGTATAAATTACATAATCGGCTAACTTTTCATTCGTTCTTTGCCGTCTGGCAAACTGAGGTGTAACTTACTGTAACTGTAACTTTTCTTGGGGCAAGTGAATATCATGACGAGGAAATAAACATTTTATTTTGCTTGCCCGATTGCGCAGGTTGCCTTGCCACAAAATTGGTATATAGTCCTGCAAATATTCATATTAATAGTTTCATAGTTTTTGAATTATTGTGCTAATGGCAGACAACACCAGGATTTGAATGAAATATTTAAAAGTGAACAGCGAATTTCTACCCATTGACTCATGCAATAAAAAGTGAATTGAAAATTTCTACTAAGTGTGTGTTGCATCTACAGTAAAAAAGGATTACGAATTTGGTCAACTGGAAAGGCTGTTGTATTATAAGAAAGATTAAGCAGTGACTGTCTTTATTTTTCGGTAGTTCTGTTGTCTTAATTCAGAAACATGAACGCATTTGCGAGAATGTTTCGCCTCAAAATACACAAAGATAGTTTGAAACAAACGTTTCCAATGTTATCTGTGTTACTTTTTCACATATGAAATCTTCTCCGGTTGAATACTAGTGATTATTTTATATTACTGCAGTAGCAAAACAAGTAGATAGTGAAATCACAATACACAGACATACAGTATATCTCCAAGCAGGATTCATAATTTGTTCCAAAATGTTTTCTAGGTATGACGACTAGGTATCCCGAGAATGAGACAATTGTGATTCCCTAGCTGACTCGACTCTTTCAGATATGAGCAGAGAAGAAACACAATCATTATCACCTAACCTGGCAGGCAGCATAACGATCATTAACGAGGAAGCCACAGTCAATGAAGATGAAGTGTCACAATCAATTATAACCAATACTCCTTCAGAGACGTCTACTGATGCCGTCTTGTTCCAAACACCGGATCGAGCCTCTTCACCATGTATTTTGGTGCGATTAAGTGAGTTTTAGTTTTTATACAATGGAACTTAATGGGTAACTGGACACACTGGCAGATATAGTTTCGCTATTTGAAAAGGGAGTTCTGCCATTTGAAAAGCGAGTTTAGACTTTCCAAAGTCCGCGGTTCGTGGTTCCGTCTTTCTCAAGCGCTCCCTTCTTGTTACGTGCGGTCCCTAGCGAGCGACTTGGGCAAGTCTAAAGCGAGTTTTGCCATTTGAAAAGGGAGTTCTGCCATTTGAAAAGGGAGTTTTGCCATTTGAAAATGGAGTTCTGCTATTTGAAAAGGGAGTTTTGCTATTTGAAAAGGCAGTTTTGCTATTTGAAAAGGGAGTTCTGCTATTTAAAAAGGGAGTTTTGCTATTTGAAAAGGGAGTTCTGCTATTTAAAAAGGGAGTTCTGCTACTTAAAAAGGGAGTTCTGCTATTTAAAAAGGGTGTTTTGCTATTTGAAGCTACATATATTAGAGAGGCGTCTGTATTAGAGAGATATCTGTATTAGAGAGGTGTCTGTATTAGGGAGATGTCTGTTTTAGAGAGACACCTGAAAAAGACAGATATCTGTATTAGAGAGGTGTCTGTATTAGAGAGATATCTGTATTAGATAGATATCTGTATTAGATAGATATCTGTATTAGAGAGATATCTGTATTAGAGAGATGTCTGTATTAGAGAGGTGTCTGTATTAGAGAGATATCTGTATTAGAGAGGTGTCTGTATTAGAGAGATATCTGTATTAGAGAGATATCTGTATTAGGGAGATGTCTGTTTTAGAGAGACACCTGAAAAAGACAGATATCTGTATTAGAGAGGTGTCTGTATTAGAGAGATATCTGTATTAGATAGATATCTGTATTAGATAGATATTTGTATTAGAGAGATATCTGTATTAGAGAGATGTCTGTATTAGAGAGGTGTCTGTATTAGAGAGATATCTGTATTAGAGAGATGTCTGTATTAGAGAGATATCTGTATTAGAGAGATATCTGTATTAGAGAGATGTCTGTATTAGACAGATATCTGTATTAGAGAGGTGTCTGTATTAGGGAGATATCTGTATTAGATAGATATCTGTATTAGAGAGATATCTGTATTAGAGAGGTGTCTGTATTAGAGAGATATCTGTATTAGAGAGATATCTGTATTAGAGAGACATCTGTATTAGAGAGGTGTCTGTATTAGAGAGGTGTCTGTATTAGAGAGATGTCTGTATTAGAGAGGTGTCTGTATTAGAGAGATATCTGTATTAGAGAGGTGTCTGTATTAGGGAGATATCTGTATTAGAGAGATGTCTGTAAGATGTTTGTTACTAATATGATTTATGCTTTATTTCAGATGAAGAAAACGACAGTGTGACCTTCATTCCTTACCCCGCAATATATCAGGATGGAAAACAAACCTTCTTACCTGAGACAAGCATGGTCGCTCGTGTTGTTGAAGTGGAAAGATCTTCTGTTTTCAATCATCCTTTTAACCCAAACCTGTAAGTCGACATTTTTCTTTATAACAGACAGATTTAGAAAACACGATCCAAACTGATGAAAGACGCGCCTTCAAAACAAAGAAATATTTCATGCAAAACAAAAAGCTTGAATAATTTGTGGTCCCAGGGGTATTCTCAACAACGTTGTCATCCTGAACACAACGCTAAGATTTTAAGATAGGTAACTTGTCAACAAGATGAGCTAGTATTTCGAAGGTCGTAGGTTCGAATCCCACCGTGGCCCGGCAATTTTTCAAGCCTGCCAGGTGTGGATATACACTCAGAGTAACATCACAAGCATCATATTCACCTGAGTACATTACACCAACACAACAAATATCAACTTAAGTTCTTTGAATGTTTGCATGGCGATAAAATATAATTGTTTTTGTTTGTGGAAACACCACGTAAATTTATTACTGCAAAGCTTTCGATCCGTAAGCCCGGATCTTCATCAGTGCTAATAATATGTAATAATTTCATTATTATTATTACTCATATTATTAGCACTGATGAAGATCCGGGCTTACGGATCGAAAGCTTTGCAGTAGTAAATCTACGTGGTGTTTCCACAAACAAAAACAATTAAATATCAACTTGTCAACAAGCTGGCAACAAGCAGTGCGAACACATCCTGTTGACAAGTTGTTGGAACAAATTGTTACAAGTCTGCTGCACGTCACATGCAATTTTGTACAGTCTGAAGCTATAATGAAATTCATCTTCAATTGTATAGTTACGTGATTGAACTGCAACACGGAAAGTTTTCATGGCGAATCAAGAAACGATATCATCACTTCCACAAGTTAGATGCAGAACTGCTTTTTCACCGCGCAAAGAAAGCTGGCGTCCGCCATTCGGATGATCCTGGTCGACTGTCGTTTGCGCCAGCCATCTTGCTTCAGCATAGAGACGAACGACTGCGTGCCATAGAAACTTATATTCAAGATATTCTGGACAAGAAAGGCTACCAAAAAAGTCGAAAACTTCAGGAATTCTTCGAAATCAGTCGAGTGTCGTTTGTCAAAGATCTTGGTGTAAAACGCAGGTTAGTTTACCCGTTTAGTTGGCCAATAGCGCAATATTTTATTATTTTACTCTATCTAACGCCAGATGATTTTAATCGTCAAGGAAACAGCGTTGCGCATTAATGAGTTAACAAAACTATCTGCCAAAGTGGAAGTCTCTAGTTAACCCATTAAGCTGGAATGCGAAATGCATCCTGCTTCACTATTTTACTCAGTCTAAAATCCGACAATTTTACTCGTCAAGAGTGACATTAATGGGTTAACCGAACTATTGTTATTTTCATTTTTATTATAATATTACACACTATATTTTACATCACGCCAGCCCCGACAACTACAGTACAAAAGTTTGATGCTATCTGGCATTATGTCTAGTTAACCCATTAAGCTGCAATGCGTCTAAATACGCCCTACTTTATTAGGGACCGATCATTATCTATGGTGGAGGGTGGCACCGAAGAGAAATGTTTTTCGTGGAAAAAATTTTGCTGACCCAACCACTGAAAAGTCAAAACATTTGATTACCCAACCTCGAATATCAATTAAAAAATAACTATACCCACCCCTGACAAAAAATGTTCAAAAGGATACAGTACCATTCAGTTATCACACATGTTCTTTATCACTTCTGTGACATGAGTTTTATAACGGCTTCTGAAAGTTTCTGCATTCATACTGTCTGCACATGTACTTTCTTTGGACACACCATTTGTCTCCCAACAAATCGGAAAACGATCAAGATAATGACTCTGATCACAGTTTATAGAAATGCTCTGATTGATTCACATATTTTATTTTCATATGACTGCTGGCATCCTTTACCAAACTGTCTGCCATTGCTTTGTGTGAATCAAATCTTCATCTTCCAGGGAAGGAGTATTGCTGAAGCGTTCTGGAGGTCACGTGTCTCCTCATTTGGCTAAATGTTGTTGCTGTTTTCCACAATGCTGTTGTTACGTCTGGAGAAAAAGGTTTGTTAATTTGTTTGTTTGTTTGTTAGGCGCCGGTCAAACAAGGACGACAATTAATGAGAGTCGCCACCCTCGCTCGTATTTCACCGCCAAGTTTCATCGACTCTCATGCACTCCCAACTGGTTCAAATTTTGATGAGAATTGATGAGAGTTTTCGCTACGCGTGTGGTAATATCCAGACTTTAACTCTCATGCAAAATCTCGCTTCTCAACTCTCATCAGCTCTCATGCAACTCTTGTTCTCGTTTGATCGGGGCATGAGAGTTGAGAAAACTCTCATGCGAACAGATACTTCCACCTATAGAGTAAATTTTGATCTAGGCAAGAAGAACAAAATCCATCATCACAGCTAGAAAGAGCATCTTAAAATTAGTAAAATTAGTATTTTGGTTGCGAAATGTCGTAAAATGCAGAAATATACTGTATAGCCCTACGAAATTTGCAAATTTTGTATTAATTTGTATTACGCACGGAAAAATGCACCATTTTCGGCCCAACATACAGTAGCAATTTTACTAATTTCAACATGCTCTTTCTAGCTGTGGTGATGGATTTTGTTCTTCTTGCCGAGATCAAAATTTAGTCTATAACAAGAATCATCTGCTGTCGTTTGTCAATTCTCAACAGTTCGCATACTCGCTTGCCCGAGGCTTTGGTTAGCTGGGTACTGTCTATTATAATATATCGCCCAACCGGCCTAACCTATCAGAAAACCTGCGGATCTCGGTAAAGCGTTGACTGACTCTTCATATGAATGCCGTGATTCGAGAACGAAAATCCAATTCACGATTCAAGAGATAAAATACGCTTGATAAAATACTGCTTTGTGATGGCTTTTTGTAACATCTGCGCGTAGTAGATTAAGCATTATACTTAACTTTACTTTAAGAGCGACTTATCTCACGTTTTTCTAATTTGGTTTACCTTTAATCTTTAAATCGAGGTCATATTTGAAGATTTTCTCTCTTGCTATTATACGCAGAAATGCCATTTATCGTGTATTGAACATGGATGCCATAGTTTATTCTCACTCATTGGCATGAGCGGATTTGCCAACAGCTAGGCTATTGCTCAATTGATAGGGGGTCTGAGGTACCTACGATTTAACGTCCTTATCCGAGAAGACGCGAAAGTCCTAACGATTTACTGGTGTCGATGTAAAGGTAGCTCTTTCTCCTCAATTTCGTTTCTCCTCAAGATCTTGAGTAGAGATCCGACCTAGGATTGCACCCAGGTCTCCCAAATTGAAAGGCAGGCGTAGTGAACACCATAAACTGTAAATTTTGAACACAAGAGGTTGATAAGACAGAACTGTACAAACGGAGGGCTTGGTAATTCTTCCCATCTTGCCGAAACCGAATTCAATAATTGTTTTATTATTTATTTAAAAGATGAAGAAGCCAGTGGAAATAGTGACTGTTCTTTTTCCAAGTCGCAGAGAGTCTTTTTCTTTCATAGAAGTACGTTTCATAGTTTCGTCGATAATTCTTCTTTATATTTTACAAGTTGTTTCCTTTAAACCAACAAAGTTAGACGTTTTCCGCAGCTAGTTTTCAAAAATACCGCTTCACCTTATAACCGCTCGTTATGATGGCAGATCTCAGCAAGTGTTAACTATACGAGTTATAAAAGCTTCTTGTCTGGTAGAATTCAACAAGTTAAGATATTATGGAACATCATTAGTACCACAAGGATCTGTGCTTTTACCGACTTTATTCAATATCCATATTGAAGAGTTATCATCTGCCTGTGTTCATCAACATCTTGAGGTCAATACAACATAAATACGCGAAGGCGTGGCAATATTGTTTTGGTCGTGTTTCTTATTCTTGGCAATATTATTCATCAGAAATAGTTTTTAAAAACCCAGCTTAACTTACACCGCTCGTCATGATGTTAAACCATTTGGCTTAAAAGCTTCTTGTGTGGTAGAACTCAGCGAGTCCAAGATAAATGGAACATTATCATCGATTGAGAGCTGTCGGACTCGAGTACACAAGAATCTTTACTTAGAAGCCTGTCTTCCTCAACACCGTGAGGTCTGCACAACATAAATATTCTGATGATGACATACCATAACATTTATTAGTTTATATCGCGCAAATTCAACAATATAATTTTCAATTTGCGCACAAAGTGAGCGCATTATACTGTATACAGTAAGACCGCAACAACAAGCAGAAAGTCTTGGACGCGGTTTAAAAATGGTTAGATGAAAATAAAAAGCAGCTAGTTCAATGCGAGGAAAATGATGGATATGTGGAATTGCTTGGGGAAAATGTATTTCGACACTTATTCATATTTAATATTTGTATATCGATTTGTAAGTCGACTGTATTTTTAACCTACAGTATGTAGGGTGGATCATGAAAGAGCTTTATTTATTTATTCATTTATAAAAAGTATCTGAAAATACGAGCCATGTTTACTTTTGTTGAGAATTGATTTCAAAAATGCGCATGCTCAGATCATTATTTGCACCAGCTATTTGCAGATGACGTAATACTCTCACCAGCTATTTGTAAGGAAAATTAGCCAATCAACATTGAGAAAATTAATAAGTAAATGTAAAGCGTTTCTTTGCCTTAGTAATCTTATCTTTTATTGTTTGCAAATATTGTAACATTGTGAAGACGGTATAAGTTTAGTAACTATTATATACGTTTCCCTTGTGAAATAAAGTGTTTATTTATTTACATACTTGCCACAAGTTTTTATAAGAAGAACAGGTATTTTATGCAAATGATTTGGTGGCGTGTATTCGGATGATGGCGTGTTTTGATGGCTCTTGTATTCAGTGATTGCTCGAGTACGTATCATATATAAAATGTAAAATTTGCACAGCAACGTTTTCCAAAATTTCGCTGCCGTTTCTCCGTGTATATTTGTAATATGAATGGGATATTTCCTGACGTGGAAACGGTGCCTGTATTCAATGATTACTCTAGTACGGTATGATGCGAAATGTAAAATGTTCACAGCAATGTTTTCCAAAATGTCACTGCTGTTTCTCCGTGTATTTGTAATAATGTATGGAGTATTTCCTGACGTGGAAACTTCCGTTTACCACTATTGTGACTCTACTTCGCAGTGTCTTGTATCTCATGGCAATAAGTATTGCTGTAGTGACAAGTTCAGTGATGGAAGGCGATGTAGCGAGAGCTGTCTCTGTGATTCCGATGATGATTGTGTTCCCCAAGATTGTTGTGGAGAATATGGTAGCTGTAAATCCCAAGGTTCCAGCTGCGCAATGAATTTTAAAATTCCTTTGTCGCAAATTGTTGGAATAATTTTTTCGATAATAGTGGTACTACTTATTGCGTTTGCGTGTTACTGGCGAAGACAAGGACAATGGTGCGATAGGCGCCGATCGAATCGAAATTCACAACAGGACACAGTGCGTTCAGGCAATAATCATGAAAGAGGACAAAGAATCTATCATGAAGTACCAACCCAGACACCAGTCGTCCCAAATAATGACTTGAGCGTGGCCCCAGAGGGAACACAAGAGCAAGTCTATAATCCACTCCCCTCTGTCAGCGATAACATCGAATTGAATTTACGAGTCCTACATCTTGATGTAGAGCTCGATGATGATGATGTCGAAGCCGATACTCCCCCGCCATCGTATACTCTGAATGATCCATTATCTTCGAACGAGTTCGGTATAAACATTGCTGGTAATCTGGATATACCACCGCCGCCATATTCAGTTGATGAGCAGACTGTTTCCACAGAACCTAATAATGATCCACCTCCGAACTATCAAATTACACAACTGTAGATTCTTCTTTTGGAACTAAACCATAAAACCTTTCAAGTAAAGTTTATCTTAATCAAGTTAATCTTAGACAAACATCCGCGGTATTTATCAGTAGAATCTTTACAAGCATTCAAATGGACAGTGTTGGCAAGTAGACGACATAATCATAGATGGACTTTTATCTACCAATGTGTGAACGGTTTAATTGAACAAGAAGACCCGACCATCTACACGTTAGCAAGAACTAATGACAATCAAAGGTGAAACATCGATCAAATTACGTACTTGCCACAAAATTTCACAACAAGCACAGGTATTTTATGCAAATCGATTTGGCGGCTTGTATTTGGATGGCGGCGTGTTTCGACGGCTCTTGTATCCTGCGACGGCTCGAATACAGTATCAAAATTTCGCTGCTGTTTCTCTATGTATTTGTAATAATGAACGGGATATTTCCTGACGTGGAAACGATGCTTGTATTCAATGATTACTCTGGTACGGTATGATGTGAAATGTACTATGTTCACAGCAACGTTTTCCAAAATGTCGCTGCAGTTTCTCCGTGTATTTGTAATAATGAATGGAGTATTTCGCGTGGAAACGTTCCGTTATTTTTACCACGACTGCAGCTCCGCTTCAAACTGTTATATGGAAAAGTATTGCTGTCCTGACGAGACTGGCAGAAGGAGATGTAGCGAGACATGTCATTGTAATTCTGACGATGACTGTGTTTCACAGCATTGTTGCAATCCTTATAGTGAATGCGCGGAGTCTGGCTGCGCAATGGAACTTGAAATTCCCAAGTTGCTAATTGGTGGAATCATTATATCGATAATATTGCTTCTGCTTATCTTGTTTTGGTGTTATTGGCGAAGAAAAGGTCGGTGGTGCAATAGATCTCGATCGAATCGAAATTCACAACGGGACACAGTGCGTTCAGGCAATAATCATGAAAGAGGACAAAGAATCTATCATGAAATACCAACCCAGACGCCAGTCGTTCCAAATAATGGCTTGAGCGTATCTCCAGATGAAACACAAGGGCAAATCTATAATCCACTCCACACTGTCAACGATAATGAGTTCATCGAATTGAATTTACGAGTCCTACATCTTGATGCAGAGCTCGATGATGATGATGTCGAAGCCGACACTCCCCCGCCATCGTATACTCTGAATGATCCATTATCTTCGAACGAGTTCGGTAGAAACATTGCTGGTAATCTGGATGTACCGCCCCCACCGTATTCAGTTGATGAGCAGACTGTTTCCACAGAGCCTAATAATGATCCACCTCCGAGCTATCAAATTACACAACTGTAGATTCTTCTTTTGGAACTAAACCATAAAACCTTCCAAGTAAAGTTTATATCAATCTTAATCAAGTTAATCTTAGACAAACATCTGCGGTGTTGATCAACAGTTGGCAAGTAGTAGACGACATAATTATAGATGTTCTTTTATGTACCAATGTGTGAACGGTTTAATTGACTAAAATTTTGACTTCACGAAGAGATTCGCGACCATTATACAAGAAGGGTCGACCATCTACACTTTAGCAAGAACAAATGACAAAAAAAGTGAAACATCGATCAAAATACCAAGCTTTCGTATAGACTTTAATAACTTTAAACCCGAACTAAAAAATAGTGAATTTCTATCTTACTCTAAGACAAGAGTGTACATATAGCATCGGTAGACCTTACTTTAACTTCTGTCTTCAAATCTTTCCTACAGTAGTTTTCTTGAACCTTCTCTCTTTCCTTATTCACTGATTCATTCTGATTCCTTCTCTTTACTAAACCACTTCCTGTTTCTCTTCAAATTTCACTTGCAATAGTGGAAAACCTTAAACTCTAAATCTCAAACATTAAACTGAACTCTAACGCCCGTATTCTAAAAGCTCACTCACACTCAATGAGTGGAGGTTCAATCTGAGCTTCTCTTGAGTGTCAAAGCTGTTTTTGAATAGCTGGAGAGTGAGTAGTCGCATAGTAAGGTACGACACTAACCCTCCAGCTATTCAAAAACAGCAATGACACTCGAGAGAAGCTCAGATTGAACCTCCACTCATTGAGTGTGAGTGTGAGTGTGAGTGTGAGGAAGCTTTTAGAATACGGGCGTAAGCATGCAAAGCATAATGAGAGAGCATCATTTAATCAGTTTAGAAATCATATATGTGGCCCATTTCTTAGAGACATAGTAAATATCTCCTTACGAGAACAATTCATTCACAAATAGCTGCAATATTCAACTACTCAGCTTGAAACTTGTGTTCTCAATTAAGCTTTGCGCGCCTCGAGTGTAAGGTTTAAGTTAAATTCTAAGGGCAATCTTCTTTGAATTGGTTGTATATATATATAGTGAATAATGTACGATTTAGGTACGTTACTGATATATAATTTATAACTGCAGCAGGACTCCACCCAGAGATGGATTTTTTTTTGAGGGGGGGATAAATATCTGGGGTAGAGTGCTGTTGCTTGCTCTGGCGGGTGTCAACACCCGGAAAGGCCAAGGAAAAAGTTTAACGAACTTTGTTTTCTAGGCTTGCATGGCGAGATCTGAGACCATAATATTGGTAATTTTACAAATTTAGTAGTAAGAATAATCAAATATGAACCTATCAAATCAAAATATATGTAATTTGTGGGGGTGCAAAAACTTTTAGGGCCGGTGCCAAATGCCTCTGGGGGGGTGCAAATCATTTCTGGGGGTGCGCACTCCTCCAGAAAATCCGTGCCTGAGTCCACCGAAAAATTGTACGTTTGATGTGTGTGTCCTGGCTAAATATAAAGATAATATTAATACTAATTTGTACGCCACATTCCTCCTATCGCCCGCCAGTTGGTCCGTACGATAGAATTAAAACGTGAAAGGATTTTGTTATCAGGCGGTTGTGAAAGACCATTGATTCCCCATGCACAAGGTATAACAAACTCCCTGGCAGAATATAAAACGATGACAAACTTATTAACCGCAATTAATTAAGAATTTTATTGAATTACGCTAGACACATATCGCGCTCGCGTCTGCTAAACGATGCCTGACGCTAAATCAGAATATTCGGTACATTGGACACTCCGAACCATTTCGTTTTAATATCAAACATATCAAAGTACTATTGAAATTGTTAACAGTGTTTATTGTTTTGTATTTTTATATACAGTATATTTCGACGATAGAGGCTTGTATTGTTGACAAAATGACATAACCTGTGAAATGGACCTCGTGTTTTAAATAAAGATGTCAATCAATCAATCAATCAATGTACGTAAGATCTGTCAAAAATTCCGGGAATCATTGAGTATTTCTATGAAATACAAGACATTATATAATAACGTCAAGCGCTTTCTCTGGCTGAGAGCCATGATCTATTGGAGGTCAGAGGCACGGAATTACGTCACACAAAATCTTATCCAATAACATTCCCTTGTTTGAAGAGATCATGGTCAGATTGTGCTCAGATTACTTTGTCAAATTTTATTTGTTGACCCATACAGACGAACATTTTTTTCTATAACAAATACCATTGTTCAAAATCTACCACGCCAACTTTTAGGAGTGCACCTGAACTCGATTCCGTCCACTGTCGTTCCAATTGAAGTGCTCCTCGAATATTGATTCAATACATTACCTTGAGCTGACCAATTCATTTCATCAAGTTCCTCGAGATATTCATACACTTCCTAGTATAATTGTAAACTTCCTGTTGAATAGTTTGAATGCACCAATCACCTTTGTTGTTTGTTCAACTATAACCAATCATAAATAGAAAGGAAGTGAGCAGAAATGATCAAATACTTGGAATTGGCTCTTTCACAGGAAGTGTATGAATATCTCGAGGAACTTGATGAAATGAATTGGTCAACCTGAGGTAATGTATTGAATCAATATTTGAGCAACACTTCAATTGGAACGACAGTAAAAATTGGTTACTCCTGCTAACCTTTGAACAATGTGTACTTGTCGTAAAAGAAATTGGCAGCATTTCCTATTAAAGTTTTGAAAACTTGTCATATTTCAAACGTGCGCGTCTGGAACTGGCCTTAGGGCACAATGCCATTTAAGATAGATGCAAATATATGTCTATTCTGTTTGTGATGTTACGCAGAGTGTATATCCACACCGGGCAAGCTTGAAAAATATGCCTGGCCACGGTGGGAATCGATTATACACTCAGAGTAACACGACAAACATCATATTCACCTGAGTACGTAACACCAACACAGAAAATATGTCTATTCTCTGGCTAACAATGCTTTCATGGTTGAAAAACATTGTTCCTCAATTATTCAGCTACAGTTCTAAGACAAAATATTGTCATATTCGGGGGAATCTGGTTGTTCATCAAATGAGTACACAGGGGGTGGTACATTGGGATTATCGGTTCTCCGTATATGGTCACCAGATGACGCTAATGGATAGTTAGGGGTAGATTGGTCTCGCTCATGACTGACATCATTTTCAAATTGTGGGGCTGGTAATTCGACCATTTCGATGAAATCGTCGTGGCTCGCACGGGAGATAGAGTAATATATTTGTTCTTGCGTTTCTGGTGGGGATACATGCAGTCGAGTATTTAGGGAGATTGAAGATTCACTTGGCGGGTCACTGTAGATATTCTGGACTCTTTCGTGTTCATTGCCTGAAAACACAATGTTCTGTTGCGCATTTTCGTCTGATTGACGTCGATTTAACTGCCGGATTTTACTACGAGAATAACACGCGAATAAAGCGATCACTACAACCACTGCAATCGCAACGAATACACCAACTAACCAATTGGGAAACTCCCAACCGCATTTCGATTGTGAAATACACACACTATCCTTACAACATTCCGTCGACGCGCAATCTTTATCCGAGCTACACTCTTGCGCAACACAGCTTTTGCTACAGACATTTGAAGCGGAATTAATACAGCAATTGTACTGTTTACCATCAGAGGTGATACAATCTGTACTGGTGTTACATTCTTTGGTATCAGTACATGTACCCCCGACGCACCACGTGTTGGGTTTAACGCAATTCTGACTTTCAATACAGGATTCTTCGATGCATTTTGACGCACACTTATTCTCACCAAACGTGGTAGTTTTGCAACAATACGCCTCGCTGAAACAATCGAGGCTGGATGTACACGAGTCGCCACATATTAAACATCTCCGATTCAGACAACATTCATCAGGCGCGCCACAATCGTTGTCATGGATACACATTCCGCCGATGCAGCTTTGTGCGCACACCGCATTATCATACGAATACAGTTTGCAACAGTATGGCCAGTCGCCGCAGTCAGCACTTGTTTGACACTTGGCGCCCTTCCGACACTTACGCAAAACACAATGTTCCATCACGGCGCAGTCTTTATCAAAGTTACAGTATTCCCCAACGCATCTCCGTTGACATTGCCCATGATTCTGTTTATCGCAACAGTATTGGCCAATCGGACAATCTGAATGAGATCTACAACTCGGATAGCTACATATAACACAGCGTCCCGAGGAGCAACATTCGTTCGTAGCGCAGTGAAAATTATTCTGACAACTTTCCCCAATGCAAGTAGAACTACAACGAGCCTCTTCGTACCACGCTTTTTTGCAACAAAATCGCAATCGACTGCAATCAGAATTTGCCACACACTGAGGACACGGGCCGCATCTATTCGAGCGACAACATAATTTCTTTCCACCTTTAAAGCCCGTACAGTCATTATTGTTCGCGCAATCATAACCAAAACACGATCGCGTTGTACTAGTATTATCAAACATACGTTTACGACAACGAAATTTCGTAGATACAACACTTCTACAGCAAACATAATCTGAATTACAGTCACTGTGCGAGCCACAAGTGTTTTGGGCAAAAGTGAATGATATTTGAACGCGAAATATCCCATTCATTACGAGAAATACACGCACGAACAACGGCGACATTTTGGGAACAATTGTTTTGACATTTGACCCGAATATAATCATATTATGCGCGCGGGCAGAAATTTTTTTTGGGATCACTTTCTTTGGGAGCTTGGTAACCGCGCCTGTTATGATGCAATATAGGAAGCTTGTACAGCAGGAAATAGATTGCGGTCGAATACTTTGACGCAAACTTATATATTCTATAGTATTTACATAACCGCTGCGGTTTTGACGCATTATTCATCGCGTCTTTCCGAAGCTTTGTACCCATAAATAAAATGTACTAAAAAGAGAACACATTACGTACAAATTTTTTATAAAATAGATCAAAATATACCATAAATATTGAGATATATGCTAGTATAAAGGTCATAAGTTCGTGAGTAATGGTATTCGAAATATAGACATATTATTAATTCGCAGTTCATTTAACTGATAGAAACGTTCACATTCAAATTATTCAATTCAATTAGGTATGAATTTGTTTTAAAAGATTCCCTGTTTGTATTATATTGTGCACTACTACTACTGTGTGAGTCACAGATAGTCTTGGTTGAAAACGTGATGTTTACCGGCAATAGTGCAATTTTTTGCATTGCGCGCAGGCAAATTTTGATCTTTGAATTTTGAAACGCCTATAAGCATTAGAGTGTGTGGTTTGCACTATTGCCGGTAAACATCACGTTTTCAACCGAGACTATCTGTGACTCACACAGTAGTAGTAGTGCACAATATAATACAAACAGGGAATCTTTTAATTCATACCTAATTGAATTGAATAATTTGAATGTGAATTAATAATATGTCTATATTTCGAATACCATTACGCACGAACTTATGACCTTTATACTAGCATATATCTCAATATTTATGGTATATTTTTATCTATTTTATAAAAAATTTGTGCGTAATGTGTTCTCTTTTTAGTACATTTTATTTATGGGTACAAAGCTTTCGGAAAGACGCGATGAATAATGCGTCAAATTGGTCAAAACCGCAGCGGTTATGTAAATACTATATAGAATATACAAAGTTGCGTCAAAGTATTCGACCGCAATCTATTTCCTGCTGTACATCGTCACAGGCTTCCTATATTGCATCATAACAGGCGCGGTTACCAAGCTCCCAAAGAAAGTGATCCCAAAAAAAATTTCTGCTGCGCGCGGGGGTAATGTCAATGCGCATGTCTCGAACGTGACATCACAAATTCGGCAATATATTACTTCGGCCCGCTTTATATTCTTGTTAGTCTCTGCGAACTCAAATGCTTTAAATGCTTTAACGACTGCCTTGTAAAAAAATCCTTCAAATCATCGCAAGAAATTGTACTTATAGTTATATCGACGGCAAATTTATCACTAGACATCAGTATTCTAGCCATTTATGGCTTTTGAAATACGAGCGCAATTGTATTGTTGACAAATGGCTTAATTAAAATGATTAAACTCTCAGACTTGACCGCTTAAACTTCATAATAAATTACATCCGTTTCCAAAATTACGAGTCGCTCGGATTAAAATAAATACAATTAAACCTTTCAGGAAACAGACCAGACTAAACAAATTTAGAGATTATTATCACGCCTTAAATGTAACACAACAAATTGGCAGTGGTTTTCAGAAATTTTAGATTTGTCATCATCAATACAAGATCAAATACTTTACTTGTATTAAAATTCGTGTCGCCTTGTCCTCGGCCTTGTCGACAGTTATTCACACAGCTTTAAATTCGCGCAAGTAATTTTCCCTGTTCGTTCTTATTGGTTTGTTTAATTAATAGAACTATTAACAATTAACGCATTTATAATGAGTATTCCTTTATCAACAAGTTCAATATTTGTTAAAACTCAATCAAAAAGCGATTAGGTGACTTCAAACAAATGGCTTCAAAATTATGTAATGTAATAATAATAATAATAATAACACTCTATTATTATTATACAATGTAAGCAAAATTCATCATAACAATTAATAAAGCTACGAAAAACTAGTAGCGGCGTTTAAAATACCAACAAGAACAAAATTTGCCTAATACAATAACATAACGAAATAATGATGCAAATTAGCTAATAAATCAACTGATTTGCATTACTAACAATGAGTGTCTTATATTACACCACAATTGAATGTATTTCGAGTCAAAATTTGCATACATATAAACAACATGTGGAAAATGCTGTGATGTTTTATACATCGAATTTTAGTCGCGTCGAATGCAATTAAGACAATAGATACTGAGATCTTTTTCGGGCCACGTCAACATTGCAATATATTTTCTAAAAAATATAGCTGCCAGAAGCAAAGGGAAAAAATATTGTGAGTCCGCTACAAAATATGAGTTCGACGGGATTTGAACCCAAACGTTTATCGAGACAGGCCAAAGGACCTACCACTAAGCCACCAGGGGACGAGCTGAAATTCTTGTGAAATTAAACACAATAATAGATTGTTCTGACCTGCTTATCTCATGCGGCGAAGAAGATTCTATTATGAGGACAGTGTAGAGATATTAGGTGGATCTCTTCGGGCCAGGTTCAACATAGCAATATTTTCTGCTGCTTGTAAAGCGATTTCTCACATAGAAATATAAAAAGAATAAAAAATAGCCAGAATAAATAAAGCGAAAAAAATATTGTGAGTCCGCTACAAATATGAGTTCAACGGGATTTGAACTCAAAGGTTTATTGGGATAGCCCAAACGACCTACCACTAAGCCACCAGGGACGATCTGAAATTCTTGTGAAATTAAAAACAATAGTAGATTGTTGTGACCTGCTTATCTCATGTGGTGAAGAAGATTCTATTGGGCGGTGAATGCGGAGAAAGGATTCAATATCAAGTCAATACAGAATGATTCGCTTGATCTCTTCGGGCCAGGTTCAACATAGCAATATTTTCTTCTGCTTGTAAAGCGATTTCTCACATAGAACTATAAAAAGAGTAAAAAATAGCCAGATTATATAAAGGGAAAAAAATCTTGTGAGTCCGTTACAAAATATGAGTTCAACGTGATTTGAACTCAAACGTTTATCGAGATAGGCCAAACGACCTACCACTAAGCCACCAGGGACGAGCTGAAATTCTTGTGAAATTAAAGACAATAGTAGATTGTTGTGACCTGCTTATCTCATGCGGTGAGGGAGACTATTATGCGGTGAATGGCGGTGAATGCGGTGAAAGGATTCAATATGAAATCAACACAGAATGATTAGCTGGATCTCTTCGGGCCAGGTTCAACATAGCAATATTTTCTTCTGCTTGTAAAGCGATTTCTGACATAGAACTATAAAAAAGAGTAAAAAATAGCCAGATTATATAAAGGGAAAAAAATATTGTGAGTCCGCTACAAAATATGAGTTCAACGGGATTTGAACTCAAACGTTTATCGAGATAGGCCAAACGACCTACCACTAAGCCACCGAGGGAGAACGAAAGTTTATGTCAAATTAAACACTATAGCTAATTGTCGTGACGCGCTTATCTTATGCGGTGAAATAGTTTATTAGGCGGTGAATTGCGGTGAAGAATTTTGGCAGTTCGAGGCAACTTAGAACGCCATGGTGGCAGCACTTTCCTTGCGATAGTAACTTCTAGTATTTGCTTATACTGTATGTTGTATTTGAGCCGAAGTATACGGTATACCACACTCAATTTGACTCTTTAAACTATATGGCAGCTTCTCTCAAACAGCCAAAACTAGTTACACGAGTTGAAATAAAACACCTCAAATAATATCGAAAGGAATTATCTGTTAGAAATGATTGGATCTCTTCGAGCCAGGCTCAACATACCAATATTTCCAACTACTTGCAAAGCGATTTCTCATATAAAGATGTAAAAAGAATAAAAACAGCTGGATAGAAATAAAAGGAAAAAATATTGAAAATATGAACTCGACGCGATTCGAACTCAAAGGTTTGTCGAGACAGGCCAAACGAGCTACCACTAAGCCACCAGGGGACGAATTAAAAACAATAGTAGATTGTTGTGACCTGCTTATCTTATGTGGTGAAGAAGATTCTATTGGGCGGTGAATGCGGAGAAAGGATTCAATATGAAGTCAATACAGAATGATTAGCCTGATCTCTTCGGGCCAGGTTCAACATAGCAATATTTTCTTCTGCTTGTAAAGCGATTTCTCACATAGAAATATAAAAAGAATAAATAATAGCCAGATTATATAAAGGGAAAAAAATATTGTGAGTCCGCTACAAAATATGAGTTCAACGGGATTTGAACTCAAAGGTTTATCAGGATAGGCCAAACGAGCTACCACTAAGCCACCAGCGGACGCTCTGAAATTCCTGTGAAATTAAAAACAATAGTAGATTGTTGTGACCTGCTTATCTCATGCGGTGAGGAAGTCGGTGAATGCGGTGAAAGGATACAATATGAAGTCAATACAGAATGATTAGCTGGTTTTCTTCGGGTCAGGTTCAACATAGCAATATTTTCTGCTGCTTGTAAAGCGATTTTTCACATAGAAATATAAAAAGAATAAAAAATAGCCAGAATAAAAAATAGCCAGAATAAATAAAGCGAAAAAAATGTTGTGAGTCCGCTACAAAGTATGAGTTCAACGTGATTTGAACTCAAACGTTTATCGAGATAGGCCAAACGACCTACCACTAAGCCACCAGGGACGAGCTGAAATTCTTGTGAAATTAAAGACAATAGTAGATTGTTGTGACCTGCTTATCTCATGCGGAGAAGGAGACTATTATGCGGTGAATGGCGGTGAACGCGGTGAAAGGATTCAGTATAAAATCAACACAGAATGATTAGCTCGATCTCTTCGGGCCAGGTTCAACCTAGCAATATTTTCTTCTGCTTGTAAAGCGATTTCTCACGTAGAACTATAAAAAGAATAAAAAATAGCCAGATTGTATAAAGGGAAAAAAATATTGTGAGTCCGCTACAAAATATGAGTTCAACGTGATTTGAACTCAAACGTTTATCGAGATAGGCCGAACGACGTACCACTAAGCCACCAGGGACGAGCTGAAATTCTTGTGAAATTAAAGACAATAGTAGATTGTTGTGACCTGCTTATCTCATGCGGTGAGGGAGACTATTATGCGGTGAATGGCGGTGAATGCGGTGAAAGGATTCAATATGAAATCAACACAGAATGATTAGCTGGATCTCTTCGGGCCAGGTTCAACATAGCAATATTTTCTTCTGCTTGTAAAGCGATTTCTTACATAGAACTATAAAAAAGAGTAAAAAATAGCCAGATTATATAAAGGGAAAAAAATATTGTGAGTCCGCTACAAAATATGAGTTCAACGGGATTTGAACTCAAACGTTTATCGAGATAGGCCAAACGACCTACCACTAAGCCACCGAGGGAGAACGAAAGTTGATGTCAAATTAAACACTATAGCTAATTGTCGTGACGCGCTTATCTTATGCGGTGAAATAGTTTATTAGGCGGTGAATTGCGGTGAAGAATTTTGGCAGTTCGAGGCAACTTAGAACGCCATGGTGGCAGCACTTTCCTTGCGATAGTAACTTCTAGTATTTGCTTATACTGTATGTTGTATTTGAGCCGAAGTATACGGTATACCACACTCAATTTGACTCTTTAAACTATATGGCAGCTTCTCTCAAACAGCCAAAACTAGTTACGCGGGTTGAAATAAAACACCTCAAATAATATCGAACGGAATTATCTGTTAGAAATGATTGGATCTCTTCGAGCCAGGCTCAACATACCAATATTTCCAACTACTTGCAAAGCGATTTCTCATATAAAGATGTAAAAAGAATAAAAACAGCTGGATAGAAATAAAGGGAAAAAATATTGAAAATATGAACTCGACGCGATTCGAACTCAAAGGTTTGTCGAGACAGGCCAAACGAGCTACCACTAAGCCACCAGGGGACGAATTAAAAACAATAGTAGATTGTTGTGACCTGCTTATCTTATGTGGTGAAGAAGATTCTATTGGGCGGTGAATGCGGAGAAAGGATTCAATATGAAGTCAATACAGAATGATTAGCCTGATCTCTTCGGGCCAGGTTCAACATAGCAATATTTTCTTCTGCTTGTAAAGCGATTTCTCACATAGAAATATAAAAAGAATAAATAATAGCCAGATTATATAAAGGGAAAAAAATATTGTGAGTCCGCTACAAAATATGAGTTCAACGGGATTTGAACTCAAAGGTTTATCAGGATAGGCCAAACGAGCTACCACTAAGCCACCAGCGGACGCTCTGAAATTCCTGTGAAATTAAAAACAATAGTAGATTGTTGTGACCTGCTTATCTCATGCGGTGAGGAAGTCGGTGAATGCGGTGAAAGGATACAATATGAAGTCAATACAGAATGATTAGCTGGTTTTCTTCGGGTCAGGTTCAACATAGCAATATTTTCTGCTGCTTGTAAAGCGATTTTTCACATAGAAATATAAAAAGAATAAAAAATAGCCAGAATAAAAAATAGCCAGAATAAATAAAGCGAAAAAATGTTGTGAGTCCGCTACAAAATATGAGTTCAACGTGATTTGAACTCAAACGTTTATCGAGATAGGCCAAACGACCTACCACTAAGCCACCAGGGACGAGCTGAAATTCTTGTGAAATTAAAGACAATAGTAGATTGTTGTGACCTGCTTATCTCATGCGGTGAGGGAGACTATTATGCGGTGAATGGCGGTGAATGCGGTGAAAGGATTCAATATGAAATCAACACAGAATGATTAGCTGGATCTCTTCGGGCCAGGTTCAACATAGCAATATTTTATACTACTTGCAAAGCGATTTCGCACATAGAACTATAAAAAGAGTAAAAAATAGACAGATTATATAAAGGGAAAAAAAATATTGTGAGTCCGCTACAAAATATGAGTTCAACGTGATTTGAACCCAAACGTTAATAGAGACAGGCCATACAAACTACCACTAAGCCACTAGGGACGATCTCAAATCTTTGTGAAATTAAAGACAATAGTAGATTGTTGTGACCTGCTTATCTCATGCGGTGTAGGAGACTATTATGCGGTGAATGGCGGTGAACGCGGTGAAAGAATTCAATATGAAATCAACACAGAATGATTAGCTGGATCTCTTTGGGCCAGGTTCAACATAGCAATATTTTATACTACTTGCAAAGCGATTTCTCACATAGAACTATAAAAAGAGTAAAAAATAGCCAGATTATATAAAGGGAAAAAAAATATTGTGAATTCCGCTACAAAATAAGAGTACAACGTGATTTGAACCCAAACGTTAACAGAGACAGGCCAGACGAACTACCACTAAGCCACCAGGGACGATCTGAAATTTTTGTGAAATTAAAGAAAATAGTAGATTGTTGTGACCTGCTTATCTCATGCGGTGTAGGAGACTATTATGCGGTGAATAGCGGTGAATGCGGTGAAAGAATTCAATATGAAATCAACACGGAATGATTAGCTGGATCTCTTCGGGCCAGGTTCAACATAGCAATATTTTATACTACTTGAAAAGCGATTTCTCACATAGAACTATAAAAAGAGTAAAAAATAGCCAGATTATATAAAGGGAAAAAAAATATTGTGAGTCCCCTACAAAAAATGAGTTCAACGTGATTTGAACCCAAACGTTAATAGAGACAGGCCAGACGAACTACCACTAAGCCACCAGGGACGATCTCAAATTTTTGTGAAATTAAAGACAATAGTAGATTGTTGTGACCTGCTTATCTCATGCGGTGTAGGAGACTATTATGCGGTGAATGGCGGTGAACGCGGTGAAATAATTCAATATGAAATCAACACAGAATGATTAGCTGGATCTCTTCGGGCCAGGTTCAACATAGCAATATTTTATACTACTTGAAAAGCGATTTCTCACATAGAACTATAAAAAGAGTAAAAAATAGCCAGATTATATAAAGGGAAAAAAAATATTGTGAGTCCGCTACAAAATATGAGTTCAACGTGACTTGAACCCAAACGTTAATAGAGACAGGCCAGACAAACTACCACTAAGCCACCAGGGACGAGCTGAAATTTTTGTGAAATTAAAGACAATAGTAGATTGTTGTGACCTGCTTATCTCATGCGGAGAAGGAGACTATTATGCGGTGAATGGCGGTGAACGCGGTGAAAGGATTCAGTATAAAATCAACACAGAATGATTAGCTCGATCTCTTCGGGCCAGGTTCAACCTAGCAATATTTTCTTCTGCTTGTAAAGCGATTTCTCACGTAGAACTATAAAAAGAATAAAAAATAGCCAGATTGTATAAAGGAAAAAAATATTGTGAGTCCGCTACAAAATATGAGTTCAACGTGATTTGAACTCAAACGTTTATCGAGATAGGCCGAACGACGTACCACTAAGCCACCAGGGACGAGCTGAAATTCTTGTGAAATTAAAGACAATAGTAGATTGTTGTGACCTGCTTATCTCATGGGGTGAAGGAGACTATTATGCGGTGAATGGCGGTGAATGCGGTGAAAGGATTCAATATGAAATCAACACAGAATGATTAGCTGGATCTCTTCGGGCCAGGTTCAACCTAGCAATATTTTCTTCTGCTTGTAAAGCGATTTCTCACATAAAACTATAAAAAGAATAAAAAATAGCCAGATTGTATAAAGGAAAAAAATATTGTCAGTCCGCTACAAAATATGAGTTCAACGTGATTTGAACTCAAACGTTTATCGAGATAGGCCAAACGACCTACCACTAAGCCACCAGGGACGAGCTGAAATTCTTGTGAAATTAAAGACAATAGTAGATTGTTGTGACCTGCTTATCTCATGCGGTGAAGGAGACTATTATGCGGTGAATGGCGGTGAACACGGTGAAAGGATTCAATATAAAATCAACACAGAATGATTAGCTGGATCTGTTCGGGCCAGGTTCAACATAGCAATATTTTCTTCTGCTTGTAAAGCGATTTCTCACATAAAACTATAAAAAGAATAAAAAATAGCCCGATTGTATAAAGGGAAAAAAATATTGTGAGTCCGCTACAAAATATGAGTTCAACGTGATATGAACTCAAACGTTTATCGAGATAGGCCAAACGACCTACCACTAAGCCACCAGGGACGAGCTGAAATTCCTGTGAAATTAAAGACAATAGTAGATTGTTGTGACCTGCTTATCTCATGCGGTGAAGGAGATTCTATTAGGCGGTGATGTGGTGAAAGGATACAGTATGAAGTCAATACAGAATTATTAACTGGATTTCTTCGGGTCAGGTTCAACATAGCAATATTTTCTTCTAGTTGCAAAGCGATTTTTCACATAGAGGTATATATATATATATACCTCTATGTAATTGATATTGAAGGAAACGGGCAAGGATTCATTTGCATACGGCTCAGTGCTATGATAGCCATGTGAATATGGGCTTTAAAAAATCCCCTGAGCCAAACCTATCTCTGTTAATATGCGTTTTGAACCTTTCTAAGTCGGTCTATGACGAAAAAATTTTTTCGATCAGCCAAAAATTTTCTAAGTGTCAAGTCTAGCTTTACTTGACTCCGAAATCCGGGCAAGCGTAGTGTAATTTATATTGAAGGAGACGGGCAGGGATCATTTGTATACGGCTCAGTGCTATGATAGCCATGTGAAAATGTGCTTTAAAATTCGCTGAGCCAAACCTATATCCGTTAATATGCGTTTTGAACCTTTCTAAGTTGGTCTGTGAGGAAAAAATTTTTTCGGTCAGCCAAAAATTTATTTGACTCAGAAATCCGGGCAACGGGCAAGCGTAGTGTAATTTATATTAACGGACGGGCAAGCCTAGTGTAATTTATGGTAATCGGGACGAGCAAGGAACATTTGCATACGGCTCAGTGCTATGATAGCCATGTGAATATGGGCTTTAAAAATTCCCCTGAGCCAAACCTATCCCTGTTAATATGCGTTTTGAAACTTTCTAAGTCGGTCTATGAGGAAAAAATTTTTTCGATCAGCCAAAAATTTTGTAAGTGTCAAGTCTAGCTTTACTTGACTCAGAAATCCGGGCAAGCGTAGTGTAATTTATTTTGAAGGAGACGGGCAAGGATTCATTTGCATTCGGCTCAGTGCTATGATAGCCATGTGAAAATGTGCTTTAAAATTCGCTGAGCCAAACCTATAAACGTTAATATGCGTTTTGAACATTTCTAAGTTGGTCTGTGAGGAAACAATTTTTTCGGTCAGCCAAAAATTTATTTGACTCAGAAATCCGTGCAACGGGCAAGCGTAGTGTAATTTATATTAGTGGACGGGCAAGCGTAGTGTAATTTATAATAATCGGGACGGGCATGAAGGATCATTTGCATACGGCTCAGTGCTATGATAGCCATGTGAATATGGGCTTTAAAATTTCCCTGAGCCAAACCTATCTCCGTTAATATGCGTTTTGAACCTTTCTAAGTCGGTCTATGACGAAAAAAATTTTTCGATCAGCCAAAAATTTTCTAAGTGTCAAGTCTAGCTTTACTTGATTCCGAAATCCGGGCAAGCGTAGTGTAATTTATATTGAAGGAGACGGGCAAGGATTCATTTGCATACGGCTCAGTGCTATGTTAGCCATGTGAAAATGCGCTTTAAAATTCGCTGAGCCAAACCTATATCCGTTAATATGCGTTTTGAACCGTTCTAAGTTGGTCGGTGAGGAAAAATTTTTTTCGGTCAGCCAAAAATTTATTTGACTCAGAAATCCGGGCAACGGGCAAGCGTAGTGTAATTTATATTAGTGGACGGGCAAGCGTAGTGTAATTTATAGTAATCTGGACGGGCAAGGAACATTTGCATACGGCTCAGTGCTATGATAGCCATGTGAAAATGTGCTTTAAAATTGCCCTGAGCCAAACCTATCTCCGTTAATATGCGTTTTGAACCTTTCTAAGTCGGTCTATGACGAAAAATTTTTTTCGATAAGCCAAAAATTTTCTAAGTGTCAAGTCTAGATTTACTTGACTCCGAAATCGGGGCAAGCGTAGTGTAATTTATATTGAAAGAGACGGGCAAGGAATCATTTGCATACGGCTCAGTGCTATGATAGCCATGTGAAAATGTGCTTTAAAATTCCCCTGAGCCAAACCTATCTCCGTTAATATGTGTTTTGAACCTTTCTAAGTTGGTCTGTGAGGAAAAAATTTTTTCGGTCAGCCAAAAATTTATTTGACTCAGAAATCCGGGCAACGGGCAAGCGTAGTGTAATTTATATTAATGGACGGGCAAGCGTAGTTTAATTTATAGTAATCGGGACGGGCAAGGAATCATTTGCATACGGCTCAGTGCTATGATAGCCATGTGAATATGGGCTTTAAAATTCCTCTGAGCCAAACCTATCTTCGTTAATATGCGTTTTGAACCTTTCTAAGTCGGTCTATGACGAAAAAATTTTTTCGATCAGCCAAAAATTTTGTAAGTGTCAAGTCTAGCTTTACTTGACT